ACTTTTTTATTTTTTTTTTTTTTTTTTAGAATTCGTTTTATAAACAGCGGTAATGGTAAGAAATGTATACGACTGTTCACTACTAATTTGCATCACACAATTAATTTAACCAGCAACTTTCACTATCTTCAATTATCACAATCGTCTTACTGACGAGATCCAGTAGTGGTAATGGTAAGAAATGTATACAACTTAATGGACCGAAACACTTCTTACTGTTATAATAATCAAGCAAATTTTCTGATTTTCATTTCTCACCTTCGTTTTCTTTTTTCCTCTTTTTTCCATTTTTTCCTATTGTAACTTTCTATTGATAGCGGATCCAACATTACAAGTTTATCCTAGAAAATCCCACGAAAAAATCTCGGGTTTTGCGATCTGTAGCCCAATTTGCCTCTCTTACTTCACTAGAATAAGGGGGTAGATGTAAATGAATAAAAATAAAGTAGAAGAAACAAGCATACAGAAAGAGCAACACAAATTTAAGTGGGCCAAAATCGAAACCATTTATGTAGATAGATTTATGTAAAAATTTTTGTGATAGTGTCTGCAAGCATAGGGATTTTCGGTCTATTAAACTGTATACATTTTATCCCAGTATCGCAATCTTAGTGCCTCATTAGTCCAGCGGTTGTTTTACAGATTTATATTTTTGTGTAAAATATTGACCAACACTATAAAATCATGACTATAATAGCCCGTATAATTATAATAATCATAATTGTAAAATCGTAATTACAATAATTATAGAACGGCAATAATTCAATTCATAGTGCTCCTCATGTCCTCTCAGGCCTCGCACATTTCACGTTTTATGCTTTAGCGGCGTGGTTTTTTTTTGCATTGGCCAGTCTAAACTGAGGAATTGGCCCCATTACACAGCCAAGATTTTTATATTCGATTTCCAGGTACGGCGCTGTGATCTGGAAAATGTTGAAGTTACAGCAGAGGAGATAAACGATGTGATGAAAGAACTGGCTGAAGCTGCGTCTACCAGTGAGCCACGTGAGATCTGGCAAACTCCTTTATGTAAGCCTTTTTTTGGCATTACTAAGGGTTTATATTGTTTAGGACAAAAAATACGGCTAGAATTCGCTGCGATTTCCAAAACAAACTATTTGTGAGAAATATTCTCAACGTGGGAGGCTGTACTGATGATTTCCGCTCCTACCGGCACGCATAGTTCAGTCGGAGTTTACAGCTAAGGGATGAAACACAGACAGACTGCATCGTGAAATATCTTCGTATACATGACACTTAAGTCCAGTCCTTTTATTCTGCTGTTTCAAATTTATGAAGACCGTCAAAATCGTCTTTTTTTCTGAAGGTTTCAATCGTTCAGGGCAAAAAATACGTCAAAAATTCGCTGGGATGTCCAAAACAAACTATTTTTGAGAAATATTTTCAACGTGGGAGGCTCTACTGATGGTTCTCGCTCCTACCGGCACGCATAGTTCAGTCGGTGTTTACAGCTAAGGGACGAAGCACAGAGATTGCATCGTAAAATATCTTCTTGTACATGACACTTAGTCCAGTCCTTCCACTCTGTTATTGTAAGTTCAAGGTGACCAGTCAGAATCGTTCTATTTACTTTATCAGTGGCTAAATCGAATTTTCAGATGACATCCGTGAAGAAGCGTATGAAGAAATGAAAAGGCCACCTTTCCCGGAAAATTCGAATTTTCGGATCCGTCTAAATACATTTCGTGATTTATGGCGTCGTGGTTACTACTTAACATGTGGTTTAAAGTTTGGTTGCGATTACCTGGCGTACGAAGCAATTCCCGGTGAAGTGAGTGAAAATTCTGTAAAATTTAATCCCTCTTTTATGAATTGTGTTATTTCTGAAAGCCATAGTAGCATCGATGATTTATCCGTTCATATCGCATTGACGTTGAGATTCGAGGGTGCTTTTTAGCAAGAATATCTGCTAGCAGCAAAATCTGTTGGTAGGCTTCAGGCCATAGGCGAATCCAGGGGGGAGGAAGTGATGGGCTTTTCGTCCCTGCCCCCAACGGAACGGGTGTCAGTGCTACAGAAATCAGGATCTAAAGCTAAAATTGAAGAAAACTCTCTTCCCTTAGCCCTGAAACATAGGCAGATCCAGGACGCCTCCCCCCTCTCCTTCCTGTAGGTGCGCCCTGGATTCAACTATGGTTCAGGTTTTTGCTTGAAAAAAGGATTTACTTGAAAAACAGATTGAAAACGGTTCAAATTTTCTGCCGTGCTAGATATGTCTGTATTTAACTTTGAAATGAACCAGTGGGGACTGTTTTTGTGGGGGAGGGTTTTTAATCAGTGGCTCGAGCTTCAGTTTTGGCACTACCCATTTATTAGGCCTTTCTGCATTCCAAAAATGTTTAGGCGGATCCAGGATAGGAAGAGGGAGGGGAGGGGGGGG